CATATAACAAAACGGACAGAAGCAGAGTCTCATGTACAGTACTTTTTGAAACTTCAATAAGCATTCTACCTAAACAGTAAATATTTTAATCATAATTTCTCTCCATTTCTCTGTTTCTTTTAACCAACCAAGCTCTCTTTGACTAGATAGTTTTCAACTTTATTTTTCTCTATATATGCGTAGTACAACATCTTTTTGTATCATTCTCCTATGTGATGCTTTTTCCTCATTCTCGGTTTCCTTCACATTTTTTCACTTTTAGCATATTTTTCATCAATGTAACTCCACATACTTTTTTGGCATTCTCTAACATAATTATTTTCACTGTGTTGCATTCATTCTGTTTGGGGATTACCTATAAAGGTAATACTGTTCATATAGAGCTAGCGCCTCTCTTTAAGCAATCTACTTTAACTCTTGTTTCTTTCACTTGTTTCTTTTTCTTTCATGTCCATTTATTTCCTGACGATCAACACCAAATAAGGTCCTATCTCTCTAGGTAGAACAGCTCATCACCTTTACATCTTACACTAATTATCTCATCTTTACCATAAACAATCAACTCAACTGTGCTCTTTGACTCATTATTTTCTCATATGTATGCATGAACAAGCATATGCTTAATCCACTTCTTGAAACAAGCAGATATTTTTCTAAACAAATACATGCCAAATAGTTATCATTCTGATTCATTCTTGGCTCTCTGAATCACCCAGTTATTCCTGAACTTTCATTTCATTCCAACACATCAATTCATGCCACACAGCAATATAACTTTTCTCTGCAAGTCACATTAATTCAGAATATTGCATTTTCTGTAACATCAATTCATAATTTCTAGCATACAATTCAACCTTTTCCTTTGTAAATTTATAATTTTATTTTTCTACTTCATAAGATATATACTGTATCAACTTCATATCTTCTTCCGCCTTTCTCAAATTTCACAAACATACAACATATATAATTTTCTTTCAATTCATTTATTAATTTATACTTTTTACCATATACATCTCTTTCATTCCAAGTCTCAGTCTTCAATTCTACCATGATATATGCAGCATTCCCTACTAATTGTGAGGACACAATAGTTAACAATTTAAGCACAATTGGGCTAATATGCTAGATGCTCAATCAAATTCCAGTTTTACACCATGAATGCTCACAGTCTTCTCTGCAAATTAGAGAATCTCTATTTGAGACAACCTTGCAAACTAACATACCATTGCCCAGGTCCCACCAATTAGGAGATACATATGTGTGGACTCCCTGAAGATATATTTGGAAATGTGATGAGGTTTATTAGACAAATCTAAGATGTGTTTAGTATTTATGACAGGAAGAGATCTTTATTATATTATTTAAGTTTGTATATTAATTACAAAAACAATATAAAATTGTTCCTGTTTGTACAAGTATAAGAATTTGGTCCTTCACGATCTGTACATTGCAAGTTTAACTGGGTAAATTATTGGAAGGAGGAAGGTGGAATTTTCAGGCTTTGTGAATGCTTAGTATTTGCTGAAACATGCCTATTGGCTAATGATGCTGTGGCAAGGCACAGGAAGCAGAAAAATATCAATTTCATTTCAGATGAAATCCATTACATAAAAAATTGGTTCCTCCAATAAAAGCTATTGCATATGTTTGCTTTATTTTCAAGGCAAGTGTTGGTAGGATTATTATTCTTGATTTTAAAACTATTCACAGTTGCAAACCATGTGAAATAAAATGAAACAGGTCATTAGAAAATTCTAATAATTAGAGTATAATTCTTTTGTTAAAAGTTGTGCAAGAATTAGCTTTTGGCTGAAGCAAAATATGTAAAAACTATGCCATCATTAATCAAATCATCCATTTATAAAGTCCTTTTTTACAAACATATTCCTACAATTCTCTTATAATAGCCCTACATTCTGTCCTTTTGAAGTATATCTTCTTCAACACCTGTGGTTTTACTATAATTTGTTTTTTTTAATTTGCTGTTTAAATAAGAGACAGATATTTTAATAAAGATGATTGAACAGAATATGGAGTGTTATAATTGCCCCTACAAAATAATGGCAATGATAATTTTTGTACCTATCCTCCTACCAAAGTACCCTAGAGCAGATTACCAAGAATAAAAATAATCTTCAATTAAAAAAATTAAATAAAGCCAAAAGTCCTACAACAAAACTATAAAAATCCAAGATTTAAGTCTAAGTTCATTTTAAATGAAGGCTGCTAAGAAAAAAACTATTTAAATTACAAAGAAAGTAAAGTGTAATCAGAGAAGTAAAAAGAAAAAAAATACTTTTGAAATCAATAGAAGAATAGATGCCACTTTAAACCTATTCGGTGAAAGCAAGTTTTCATTTTTGAGCAACAGCAGGTACTGTGGGCAGTTTATTATTCAGCACTAGGAAAGCTCATCTTCTTTAGCCAAACACTTTATAGAAGTTTTCCTGTGAAATGACCAAATCTTATACAATTACAATAGACAGTTGTAAGGTAAAAAGGCAAGAGAAACACTGCCTGTAATTTAATGCTGTCTTGTATTCTGATGCATTTATGCCAATATTAGTACTATTATCTGAGAATGCCACCCCTAATAGCAGTAACATATAAATAGATAGTAAAATCTGAATAGACATAGTCAATTTGTTCCTTGTTTTAAAATGAGGAAATCAATCAATCAGAATAGAGCTGAAGGGACCTTAGAGGTTTTCTAATCCCCTACTCAAGCAGGAGACCCTATACCATTTCAGACAAGTAACTGTCCAGTCTCTTAAGAACCTTCAGTGATGACGCACCCACAGCTTCTGATGGCAAGCTGTTCCACTGGTAAATTGTTCTAACAGTCAAGAAATTTCTCCTTAATTCCAGGTTGCTTGTCTCCTTGATTAGTTTCCATCCAGTTTCTTGTCCTGCCCTCTGGTGCTTTGAAAAATAAGTGGACCCCCTCCTCTTTGTTGGAACCTCTCAAATACTGGAATACTGTTATCATGTCCCCCCCCCCCCAGTCCTTCTTTTCTCTAGACTAGCCAAACACAAATGCTGCAACCATTCTTCATGTTTTTGTCTCCAGGCCTTTAATCATCTTAGTTGCTTTTCTTTGCACTTTTTCCAAAGTCTCAACATATTATCTTTTCCAGTACCTTCCAGGTATTGATGTTAGGTTGATTGGTCTGTAGTTTCCTGGGTCTTTTTTGAAGATGGAACCACATCAGCTCTTTTCCAATCCTCAGGTAATTCCTCAAGTAATTCCAGGATTTTTGAAAGATATGGTACAATGGTTCTGAGATAACATTTGCCGGATCCTTCAGAACTGTCTTTTACAGTTATGTTTTTGGTAGGTTGGGCTATGGTTTCTTTTTGTGTGAAGACTGAGTCAAAGAATGACTTAAGCAGTTCTGCTTTGTCTCTGCTGTCTGTTACTTCCTTGCCACCTTCTCTCTTAAGTGGACCTACTGTTTCCTTGACCTTTTTCTAGTTATTTGCATGTTGAAAGAAACTTTTTTCATTAACTTTGACTTTTGTTGCAAGTCTTTGTTCATGCTGAGCCTTTGCTTTCCTGACTTCATCTTTGCAGAGTCCGGCTATCTGCTGATATTCTGCCTTAGTTATGTGTCCCTCTTTCCATTGTTTGTACTTGTCCTTTTTCTCTTTCAATTTATCATATAAAAGTATATTTGGACAATGAATTAAGTACAGTGAGACATGGAAAATGACACAACTATTTAAGTATATGTTTAGTGTAATTTACAAGTTCCATTTTCAATCAAATTTCTATGCAATGAGCTTTAAAGTATTACTTTGTATAATTAGGGTTCAATACCATCAAAACATAATTCATTATAAAATATGCAGAATTATTGCAGAAATGTAGACAATTTCAATTAATGAAAAATTAACAGGCAGCATCTTGGAAGCATCAATTCTGTGGAACATATCTATTTATATATCATGGCTATATATATTATTAAAACATTACAGATACAGTTATAGATGCAAAGGAAGGATTACCATTTTAAAAAGTCAGGAATAATATTTAAAGCAGTCCACTTCTTATATATATTGGTAAGAGGCAGAATTATATGCAAGGTTGTGCAGATTTTATTTCTTGGAGTATGATGCATATTAGAATATTACATTAAACTATCCTTAAAGATTTTACCTCATGTCAGTTTTACTAATGATTTACTACTTTGCAATGACAAAGGAAATTGTATAACTTATCCATGTGTTTTCAGATCTTATAATCATCCCAATTTTCCTACCTTTTAAACCTATTCTTAACTCTGATGTAAGATTTTCCGAGATTCCTTTTACAAGAAAAACAGTTTAAAAACATATTTGCATGAAATGTTATCTCCTACCACTAGAGATCACTGTAGCTAAATAAAGTATTTATTGAGCAATTTATTTAATTCATATCCAAATTTTAACTGACCCTGATGTATATTTTCAGAAAACCAACTTGAAGATATGCTATTATATGACATTATTTAAAGCATTTCCATTTTAAACATTATTTTGCTCACTTTATATACAATAGAAAACAAGCTAAGTTCTGAGCATATTCATATTATGAACACAGACTTGTGCTTGACATACTGTTCTGTTCTATGTTACAAAATTTTTGCTAATCCGATCTCATATATAGTCTTTAGTGAACAAATTTTGTCCAAAATAAACCTTTCCACATAAATTTTTCTCTATAGCCTGCTATATTGAGCCACGGTGTTAGTAAAATGTTGAACATTAGACATAAGTCATGTAAACAGGATGCATTCATTCCACTTAGCACAAATCAATTCTCATTCAAGTGTTAAAAGGACTCCAATGGTTATATTCTTTTTAATTAATTATAATTTAAATAATCTTCCACCCAAAGTATAGATACCATGCCTTAGTAAATATGCACAGATAATGATTTGTTGTAAGTGAATAATGATATCTAAATAGTAAGTCATCTCAATTACACTGATGTTCAGTGTGAAGCACACTTAGCTTACCTGCTTCCTTGCACAGGGCTGCTAGGTCTGCTCCTACATACCCATGGGCACTGTCTGCCAGTTGACTCAAATCTGATACTGTCAATGAGTGGGGAGTTTTATTGAGAACCTTCCTTAAGATGTCTAGTCGATCTTGAGAATTGGGAACTCCAATTTCTATCTCTTTATCAAAACGTCCTGGTCTGCGCAGGGCTGAATCTAGTGCATGAGGGCGATTGGTAGCTCCAAGAACTAAGAGTTGCCCTTGATTATCTTCCTAAAAACAAAACAGTTTTATTGAAAACAGGTTTACTGTAAGTTGAAGAAATGAATAGTACTGTAGAGTAAGCATCAGGTTAAAAACAGATAAGGCTAAGGTATCTTTTTAAAGTAGTCGTGATATTTCACAAAATATCAGCAAGAACTTCTCAGAGTTATAAAAATATTTGTTAAACAAGGCTCAGGGAATTTATTAACATATATTTTATATAATTCTTGAAAAACTCTCTACTAGCTGATTCGTATTTGCCACAGATTAAAACAATTGGGGTAATGCAGAAATTTGGATCAGAAATGGAGCTCCAAAGAAGGTGCAATGAGATCCAACAGCAGTCACCTCATCCCAGGAAAATATATCTTTCAGCTAAAGACCTGGCATCACGGTGTGACAAGATGTTTTGGTACAAATAGTGTCATGATTTACTTAACTCACGTACAAATTTTTCTGGGATCTCATGGCTACCAGCAGATCATACCTATTTTTTTAAAAAAGACAACAGGAGTAGCATGTGTACACATGCCCTTTCCAAAGCAGACCTTGGCTTCAGATCCAAAATACAGATGCTTAAAACAACTTAAGGTGGCCTCAGTTCCTTTAAAGGGAAAGCTACCTTCTGGTTTGAACTGGGGATCTAAGTAACTTTAAGATTTTAATAAGATGTACCATTCACTATGGCACAATTTCCAGCCATTCAGCACTGCGGTGTCTTCACATCATGAACTATTTCCCGACTCTACCACCTAAGCAATGTAGTTCAATTGTAATACCTTCCATAGCCGGAACAACATATGAGGCACATCTATACTGTTATGCAATGCAAGCTTCCATTTCATAATCTGGAATCATCACTGAAAAATAAATTCTGTCCCAAAACATTCTCAGACATAACTTCTAGTATACATTACCAAATGTCTCCAGAGTTGCAAAGAGACAAAGAGACTTACTGATCCAATGCCATCCATCAGCGTTAACAATGAAGCTACAATTCTTTTTTCAACTTCGTTCTGGGCTTCTTCTCTCTTTGGACAGAGTGCATCAATTTCATCAATAAATATAATGGATGGTCGCCTTAACAAAAATGGGAAATAATGTGTTTCTTGGAATACACAAATTAAAAGGGAAATAATAGCATATATCTTATAATATGCACACTAGAATAAATATGCATATAAAATGAAAAGGTAAAGACATCCTCAAATTAAACTCAATGTCTAAAAACTATATGGGCATGTCCTACTTTTCAAACCATTATTGCCTTCTTCTAGGGTATTTTTTTCACTGTCATCTACTGGCCTGTTACTTCGTGCTAGCCTCCCATCAAATTACTAATCAGGTCCAACTCTGCATAACTTTTTCAAGATCAGCCAAAGCTGTTGGGTGTTGCCACCTGCTATGACACTCAATAATCTCACTGAATAATTCAAATATTCAGCTGATTGCAATATTTTATGATAGAGTTAAGAGAATAAGAATGTATCTTAAAACAATGTATTTATTCCAACACTAAATATAGACCAAAATTTGGAATACACATTCTTTAACCATCATAGAAATAAAGAGAGATTATTCTTCCTCAAAACATGAAAGCAAAATGTAACCCCAATAAAAATACACACCAAGATACAATGGTTATGAGAACAGTCTGGCACACTGACATTTATAAATTTCTACCAATTATCTTGGGGTATGGGCTTTTATATCCATCCATCTATCCACCCACCCACCCAACTATCCACCCACCTACCTAACTACCCACCCAGCTACCTACCTTCCTACTTGCCTAGGTAAGCAATATATCCTTATGAGCACCAATCAGTCTACAGATATCTCACTGCTGCCCATCAGCCAAGTTGACCCAAATGACTTAATATTTTCAAAAATATTATTCTAACTAAAAACAGCAAATGGGAATCTGATATTCAGCAAAACAAATTCCAGCCTTTGGCATCATTCTTACTTAGAAGAATGCCTCTGAACTAAGCTGCATGTTCACCTTTTAGAAATGTTGGTGGATGTAAGTCAGTGCTTTCTTTAGAGAAACTCCATCTGCCCAAGAAGCACAAAGCTAAGTTGAAGTACTAGAAAGAATGTTCTGAAGACAGAAAAGTTGGTAGGGAGGAATCTTAGTAGTTTATTATTTAGATAATAAACATTTATTGAGCATACCTGACATTTTTAAATAGAGAAACTGCCAACTATTTTATGAGAGCTTGCAAAATTCTAAATATGCCATTAGAGCAAAAAAGTTACCTATTCCTTAAGTTAAACCATCTGAAGTAACTTCATTGAAAAAATAGAAGCATACCGTAAAGAGGCTTCAGAAAATATCTGTCGTAGCCTGGCTTCACTTTCTCCATAAAATCTATAAGAAAATCAAATATGATTCGGTGTCAAAAGTCGCATACAGTTCCCTATATAGGTACATTATTGTGTCAACATCTTGATATAAATACATCATTGGTTCTTCATTTCTATTTACAGATGTAGCTATATCCTACTTGGGTAGCAAAGGAGGCATGTATTTTAAAAGCAATAAGTACACTGCTAATTTAAATTTAGATAAAGCAAGGCTGAAATAAATCAATGAAGGGCACCTACTTGCTTATTATTTCTGGACCATTAACTGTACAGAAGTTAGCGTCAACCTCATTTGCAATTGCTCTGGCTAACAAGGTCTTCCCTGTACCCGGAGGACCATATAATAGCACTCCTCTTGGAGATGGGATTCCTTCAGAGTCACACATAAACAACAAAGAACTGTAGTTAATTCTTGGACATTGTATGATATTAAAAGTTCATAATTGTGATAATAAAATAATTCCTGTATTAACATTAAATTAATAATGAAATGCTGTATTATATATGAAATATGTCATAATTATTTTTAGAAGCATCCCAAATAGCAATTCTACAGAACTGACAATCAACAGCACAATTTTTGTTACTCATAGCCTTTTTAACTTCTACTATATATTTCTTTAAACTTAAAATAATTGAAAAGAGGATTTGTGTAAATTTTTATAAATTTTAGTAGCTTTTAAAAGCCATGCAAGTCACTTTTTGATCCGCCCAAAACAGTTAATATAGAAAGAGTTTAATGCCCTCTTTCCTAAATGGACCTTTAAAGAAAGCTGCCAAACTTTAAGAGAAGCATTTTGGATACCACCACAGAAAAACTGTTGTAAAAGACTGATTCAGGCTACTAACTCCTTCCAGGTTATTCAACAAGCTATGGTTAAGCAAAACATGACAAAAAAAAGATAATTAAATCATTGTTTAGCACTTGGGCTGGTAAAACAACATATTAAAAGTAGTATAAGATCTGCCATTTGAAGAAAAACAAATACATTTAAACTGTGTCTTACATTATTTGACGGGGTTACCAAATGAAAAATAGTAAATTATAGCATACTTTTATACCATAGATTTCCTACCATATTTCCTAAATAGATCAGGCTGCTTCAAAGGAAGTTCAATCATTTCTTTTATAGTTTTCAGCTGGTTACTGAGTCCACCTATTGAATCGTAAGTAACTTTTGGTTCAAGATTGTATTCTTCTGTCACTTTGGCTTGCGGTTGAATGAAACTGACCCTAGTCCTTGTCGATATGAAGTAAAATGTTTCTGAATTCTGTGACAATCCTGTTTTATCAGCCAGAGGTAATTCTTCACCTGCAAAACCTTTCTCACAGTCTTGTGATATGTTTGATTCAGAATGAAGGTTAGACCCATCGCCATCAAGTATCTCTGCTGGATCAGGACTCAATGCTTCATGCTCCACACTATTTAAAGAATCATTCATGGATATGTTATGATCCTCATGCTTACATGGAGTACTGGTAGCTACTTCACTGTCTCTTATTACTAGTTTTCCAAGCTCAGTTGATAAATTGAAATGATGGCTATCCAAATTCTCCAGTGATCGTTCCTGTGGTGTTTTTAAAACATCTTGCATTTGCAGCAACACATCATCCATTCCTTTCACCTTTGTAACCTTTAAGTCACAAGATCGGCCAAAGAAAGTAATTTGCAGGAAATTTCCTGGCAATACTATCTTTCCATCTGTAAAAAGAGATTAAGAAAACCAATCAGATTTCTCACACAGTCGCCGCCTAAAATATTCCTGCATAAAAGTATATGTTAATAGTAGCAATACATCAAGAAATATAATACAACAGTTCATTTAGTGACCATTCAAAGTTACGACGGCACTGAAAAATGTGATTTATGACTGTTTTTCAGTTACGACCTTTGCAGCATTCCCTGTGATCATGTGATCAAAATTCAGATGTTTAGCAATTGGTTCATATTTATGATGGTTGCAGGGTCACGTGATCCCCTTTTGTGACCTTGACAAGCAAAGTCAATTGAGAAGGCAGATTCACTTAGCAACTGGGTTCCTTAACAACTGCAGTGATTCACTTAACAACTGTAGTAAAAAAAGGTCATAAAATGGGGCAAAATTAACTTAGCAAATGTTTCACTTAGCAACAAAATTTTGGGCTCAATTGTGGTCATAAGTCGAGGACTACCTGTAATTTTCAAAACAAAAGCAATGATCTTGGTGATTTAACTGTCAGTTCTAAAAAGTGTTGCATTTTCTATAGCCTTGGTAAGTTTTAACAATAAAATAATTGTCAGTCCTTTAAAAGCCCCCCGAAGCAAGAAATGAAATCAAAATAGAGATATCATATGCTTCTCTTATACTTGCTTTTGGCATCCAAAATTAATTTACTTTGATAAATTAAGATACACAGAAAATTAGACTACATGGCATAGAACTTCAACAGAAAAGCTTACAAAGGTTAGTTTTAACAAAGCACACCTATAAGTCTGTTTTGAGGTCAGAACCACCTATTTTGGAACAGCACTTTTCTTCTTAAGAGAATATTCTATGCACTTTTAAAAGGCAGCCTCTTCAGATTGGATAGTTATAAAGTTTCAAATGCAGTATTTTTTCCCTATTCTTGATACTCTTAATCCAGAGTGAGTGTATTGGATCTCTGTAAAACTCAGAACCCCAAAATGTTTGACTACAGACAGACAGAGGTTTATATGTATTTAATATCTAAAATTATAATATAAATCAGAAAACATAAACTAAACCCATACCTAAGTTTCTTAAGAGGCTAATGGACAAGTCTTCAGTACTGATACAGTCATCTTTAACCCTATGAAAAAAATAAATTAAATAATCCTTCTTAAAATTTAATAAATATCATTATTTCAAGAACACCAAATGTACTCCAATGTAAGAACTAAATTAAACTCCTGCAAAAGCGACTTCATACAGCAATTCTCATCCAGAAATTTGTTATATTTGTTCTTAGCATCACACATGAACTCATAGAAACTACTGCAGTCTCTGCAATTTAATGCATAGATTCTTAAATCCAAGCCCTAAAAAATCTTTTGTATAACAGAAATTACTAAGCTAACATCAGTAGGGAGTGCACTAATGTAGTTATCTATCTATCTATCTATCTATCTATCTATCTATCTATCTATCTATCTATCTATCTAATCTACTAATCAACCTACCTACCTACTATAGTAATTCTGGCTAAATGTCAAGCCAATCTAAAATCAGCAATACAAACTTTGTCAATATTCTTATATTGATGCTTCTTCTTTCCCTGACATCTCAAGTAGTTTCACATACAGTATATTTATGGTTATTTTCTTTCCAAGACAGCCTCTGCTGCAACCAGATTAGTTTTATATAACGTTGCCATCTTGGGATAAGCCATACAGGTTAGAAATTTCTCAAGAGAATTTTGGAAACATTATCTAGGGAGATTCTAAAGATGAAAACCAAAGATACAAGAGAAAAAAATCTAGGGAATTTACACAATGAAAGAAATTTTAAAAAAAAAACATCCAGGAAACAAATGGAGAAAAGAATATCATTCTTCAACAGTCAAATAGCAATGTTAATCTAGCAGAAGATTCGTCAGATATGAGACTCTGAAATTCATCTCCTTCAAATCCAGAATGCACAAACCCCAAGAGATTTTAAATGGACATTTCATTCATTAAATTTATCTTCTTTTTATCTTGTTACTTACAACCATAGAATTACCCAAACTACTGTATTTTACAGATTGCAGCCTTCCTTTTAAATAAAGTTTGGTCCTTGTTTCATACAGTTTATAATCACTGATATTTTTACTTGATATTAAACACACAAGAACACTTTCATACCATCAATCCTTGAACCCAGATACCATGGTTCTCTACATAGCAAGACTTCTTGTGTACCAAGTTAGTTAATTACAGTTAATCCAACCCATAGCAAATACATTTGATTAAAAAAAAAACAAGAAGCATTCCAATTCCTTACAGCAGCTTTAAGAGCAAAGTGTCTATAATCTAAGCTTTCTGAAAGGAGTTACACTTTACAGAATTACACTACATATAATGTACTTTATTCAGCAATTCAGATTTGAGTTAAAAAGATATTCTATAGATAAGAGAGAAGGTGCATAACACAAATATATCTGCTCTTCATATCTGCCATGGGCTCTCAAGAAAAGACAAAGTTGCTTTAAAGTGCTACAGTTGTGCCTTCCACGTGTTCTAAACTTCTCTTTCAGAACTGAGATGTGAAGCAGCGCAAATGTCCTGGCATGCACCGTTTTAAATATAAGGAAAACTTAGGGCTTTAAAATAAATTTCATTATGATCACATGAAACTTATTTATCACAACATTCACTCAAAGTCAAAATAAATTGGAAATCTGACCATAGGTAATAATGTAAAATGCATGGATATCAACATACTCCAGCTTTACTTCCACTTCCTCTGCCTGAAGTACAGCACCAGTCACAGGTTGGACAAAGACCGGATCACCAGGTACCACTTTTAGATTCTTCTGTGTAATTGCATTTAAGCCAATTTTTTTACCAGGGAAGCCTGCAACAGGCCATGCTGTGCAAACCTAACCAAAACAATAGAAAATATAATTAAAAAACAATCTATCCAGTGTTATCCCTTTCAAGAAAAATAAAATAAAACACACTATTACATAAACAAATACATGCATGCATAAATACACATAGAATTGATAAGAAAACAAACACCACCTCTTGCTTCCCATTTGTACTGGTAAGCAGCACTGGACGCCCTATAGAAATATTTGCCAGCTTCATGTTGTTGAGCGCCAATTGCACAAAAGATCCTCTATATATTTTGGGAACTTTGTCATCTTCTAAAATTAAAGAGAAAAACACAATTATACATGTAATTATCATTTGATTGATCTAAAATCTTGAAGAACAAAGTCCAGATTTTTTCTTTAAAGTCAATATAAGAACAGAACATGATAGAAAATACCTGTGTTTCCCCGAAAATAAGACTGGGTCATATATATGTAATGGGGCAGGAGAGCACCTGTCGCACTGGTGCCACCACCATGAGGTAAAGCGAGGCAGGTGAGGGGGTGGAGCTGCCCTGCACCCACTTACCTCAGGGCCCCCGCAGTCAGGCCACTCCCCACTCAGTGATCTCCCCCCACCCATTCAATGACCCAGCTGCCCGCCCACCTCTTCCCTTTCACACCACTCCCGACCTGAACTGCCATGTTATGGAGGATGAGCGGGGGATGCTCGGTTGTTTTACCTGATCCCCCTCTGCCATTTCAGAACAGGGGGAAATGACGGCACATCAGCTGTGTCAGCCACTAGAGGGGCTTTCTTTGGGCCCGGCTCCACAGATTACCTGCCTGGCAGCAGCAGCCACCACCTCCTCTGCCTGCTGTTTGGCTCCTGTAGCACTGTGTCGCACTGCCTGCTTCCTGTTCGCTACCTGTATTTTATAGTTTCAATGGCAGCATTTTGGAGGCTAGTGGTAGGCTCTCTGCATTGTCCCTGGGCTGGCAGTTTTGGCCACTGGCCACTTTCATGGCTCTGCCCACACAACCACGGGAGAGTTGGTGACTGGAGTCAGGGTGGCACGGTCTTTGGAGCACCCCCACTGCCAGCCCTCGTATAACTCTCTTGTAGCTGTGTGGGCAGAGCCACAAAGGTGACCGGTAGTTGAAACTGCCAACCTAGGGACGATGCAGAGAGCCTACCACCAACCTCCAAAGCTGCCATTGAAACCATAAAATACAGGTGGCGAACAGGCAGCAGGCAGCGTGACGCAGCACTGCAGGACCCAAGCGACAGGCGGAGGTGGAGGTGCCAAGCAGGTGATCTGCGGGACAGGGTCGGCAGGGACTGAAAAAAGGCCCTGCAGCACCAGACGTAGCTGATGTGCAGTGTCAAGGGAGTGACGGCAAAAGGCCTCCGCCGTCCTTCCCCCCTGCCTCCAAAATGGGTAAAGTGACCAAGCCTACTTCACCCATCCTCTGTAGCATGTCAGTCCAGCTTGGGAGGGGAGTGAAAGGAAAGAGGCAAGAGGGCATCCGGGTTATTAAACAGATGGTGGGAAGTCACAGAACAGGGAGTCGCCTGGCTGCAGGGGCGCTGAGCTAAGTGGGTACGGGGCACATAGGGCAGCTCTACCCCCCATCTGCTTCAACTTGTGGTGGCGGCACCGCTGCACTGCACAGCCTTCTGCCCCAGCATGGCAGTTAGACAAAGTGGGCAGGCTCTTTACTAGGGCTTATTTTGGGAATAGGGCTTATATTAGGCACATGCTAGAAATCATGCTAGGGCTTATTTTCGGGATGGGTCTTATTTTCAGGGAAACATAGTATGATAGTTCTGATTTAGAACATAAACCATGTTTGGACCATTTAATTAACTGTTGCACAAAGTGCAACATTCTAATGTTCAACCAATATTGCCAATGTTGTTCTACTAAAGTTCTATTTTATGCTACCCTGAAAATATTAAAATTCAAGAAAAGGGAATCTGCTCTGCCCATTCATTACATTTCTGCATTTTACATTACAGGTAGTCCTTCACATATGACCATAAATGAGCCCAAAATTTCTGTTGCTAAGAGAGACATTTATTAAGTGACTTTTGTCCCATTTTATGACCTTTGTGGCCACAGTTATTAAGTGAATAACAGCAGTTATGTTAGTAATATGATTGCTACGTGATCTCAAAAAGGGATCACATGACCCTGCAGCCTTTTCCAGGCTGTGAGGGGGTGCAAAATCGCTTTGCAGCTATAGATCCGAGTGGCAGAGGCCTTTTCCAGGCTCTCGGAGCCCCGATCCAGCTTCCGAAGGCATGCCGAAGCATCCCCCAGCTCTGGTTTGGTTCTCTGTTGCAGAGAATAGAGGCTTAACGAATCATGAGATCACGCGAGATCAGTAGTGTGAGATCTCACTCCACTGATCTCATGTCATCTTGCGTTATTTTAGGCCTCCATTCTCTGCAAACAAACTGAAGGCCTGTAGTAGCCAAGAAAGCGAAGATTCTCCATCTTCGCAGGGTGAGTACTAAAGGCCCGGTGCCTAGGGAGACCTGTGGCAGGGGCGGGGAGGGAGGGAATAACCCAGGTGAGTGTTTCACAGCCACTACTGTAGCTTGTAAGGACGAACAACTGCTGTGGTGCTGCAATACTCGTAATTTCAGGAGTTGCTTGTAAGCACTAGGTGGCGCTCATCACATAACTTTGAACGAGCATTAAATGAATAGTCGTAACTACATGAATTTATTTGAGCTAGGACAGTAGTGGCGAACCTATGGCACGGGTGCCAGAGGCGGAACTCAGAGCCTTCTCTGGGCACACACGTTGTCACCCCAGTCCTAGGCTTTCAGCTGGGTTTTATAAAACCTTTTCGCTTTAGGCCTCCGCTGCCATGTGCAAAAAAAAAGGTTCAATCAATCAGTCAATTTCAACTTATCACGGGAAAAAAACCCTTGCAAAGTTGGAATTGATTGATTTGAACTTTTTAGTCCCACCCAGTCTGCCGTTACTACCGCAGCCATGCCTACCCAATGGGCCACACACACCCCAATTAGCCACACCCAGCCAAAGGGCCACACACACCTGGCACCCGATGATGCATAAGTGAGTTTTGGGTTGCAGTTTGGGCACTCGGTCTCTAAAAGGTTCGCCATCACTGAGCTAGGAGCATTACCTATAATGTATTCATTGGGCAACAAGAGCAATCCAACTCTTTTTTCCTTCTTTTAAAGACATAACTGGTGTCTTCCAAAAGATCACTATATGTTAGACATTATGCAGACAGGTATATTATGTTGGAGCCAGGGGCCTTGTCCCAAAGCAGTTCAAGTCAAAATCGCCATACATAATAGTACCCAACAACTGGAAGGAAAGGCATGGAAGATGCTTGAAACAACCTAAATAAGCAAAAAGGAATTTGGCATATCCCAACCCCTAACTATGACATTCCATAACTGAGAAATCACAGAAAATTCTCATGGCATGACCTGTTTTGGAAAAATGATAACACTATTTAAAACTGGAGCATCTAATTACAACTTTAAGCTACTGTACTCCTGAACTGAACTGAACTGATGATGAGTTGAATACAACATTCTGATATCTAGCAAAGCAATTTTGGCTTTTCCAACAGAAAGTGAGAATGAGATCTACATTTGTCCTAAATTTGTACTACAAAAATTAAATTTGTCTTCCATCTAATGCAGTCCCAGCTACCTGCAACATTCAACACAGAAATTAAAAAAGAATAACAGCTTTATACTAAACATTGCAAAAAAAAAAAGGATGATCAGACATATTAAACATTGCAAAAAAAAAGATGATTCACAGGCATGCAAACAGCATCTGGGAGCCTCTGTGGCTTAATAGTCGGGTATTTTATTTGGATGGGGGTTCCCAGAATTTTGAGTCCCAACTCAACCCGTTCAGGGAATGAACCGCTCCGTATATTTCCTTATATCTTAAGATAACAGCTATTATCTTATGGAGTGATGCTATAACTGCTACAAGAATCTTGCAAGAGTCACATGCTTCTGTCGCAATAATCCGAATCACCGTCCTGCGATGCCTGGATTCCTCGATGCTTTCCCAACCTAGCCTGACCTTACAGGCTTGTTGAGAGCATGAACGATCCCCGCGAACTTGCGCACTTTACCAGCATCCTACCCTTGTCCAAAAAGTCTGCAGCCAACAAACTCTGCCACCCGAGGTGTTCTTGGGTTGCGTCTCGTTCGTCAAGAGTCGAGTCCTTTTCCGAAAGATGCCGTTTCTTGCTTTTCCTCTTGCTGGAAGAGGACATTGCAAGAATTCAGCGAAACTAGCAGGCTGAGGCAGCGCCGCTTTAATTGCATTTGGACCACGAGAGCGGCTTCTTCCCCGGAAGACAAAATTCGCTCGAAGAGATATTAACGAGTTAGAGAACATCGATTCAAGACCGACTATGGAGAATGATCCACAATTAGTAAAGTACTGAGAAACTAGGTTTCAAGCGCTACCAAAAGCCGCTCTGTCTCCTCGAGGCGTTTTTAAAAAGCCAAATGTTCCTGATTACAATCTAAAAGAAATTCGAATACTAATGAGTTTTTCTTTTATTTTTAGGAGTTACACCGAGTATCATTCTCAATTTTTAGAGTCTAGGGATGCTCAGTAGACGGGAGCGGATGTTGTTCTGCGGATGTATCTCTATGGTTAACCCACAGTTGCGGCTATGTTCAGTGTAATGCCGGAAGTCTTTCCGAAATGCTGCTCTCTGAGAAACTTCGCTTTATTTTCCCCAACAGGGATATGATTGCAATGCTATTCGTTTCGTCACTTCCTGATTAAATTGTTTATTCAACTATCTCGGGCAGAAATTATAACTTTAATTGCAGGTGATAAAATCTTAAGCTCCGCGTATTAAATTATGATTAGCTTCACTGTTCTTTGTAGAATTTGTTTCTAGTTAACCCTATTAATATTAGATTAAGTTTTGGAGTATAATCGTATACCGTGCGCTCAATCTGAAACGAATTTCAGATTAGCGGATGTTAAATCACAGCCTCAATCTGAAATATTTACTCAAAATTAATTTAACCTAAATATTTCCCAGAACTCAGCTCTGATTAATTTCATTAGCGTTCTAGATTCGGTTCTGTTTTTCTGTCTGCTCATTGCTATTATATTGCTTATTAGAATTTTATTTTATTTATTTATTTTTAATATTTTTTTTTATTTTCCATTTATCCAACATAGTTATACAACAAAATTCACTTTACAAAATAAAATAAACCATAGGTGCCACTTGCTCCTTCCCCCCAAGCTGTATCCACCCTCCCTAATACCTTCCTTACTTCCCTCCTCTTTCTCTCCTCCCCTCACTACTCTCTTTCCCTCCCCTTCTCCTCTTACCATCCTACTTTCTCCCTTCACCTTCCTCCCCTCTCATCCCTCTCGAATGCAGCGCAGCACCTCTCTCATAAATTACCATATCTATATTATCCTATTCTACCTATTTACCCACCCACTCACCCACCTACCCACCCTCAACCCCCCCTCACTTCCCAGAGCAGAGTACAGGGTTATTAATAACAAAATTAACAATATACAATAAAAAAGAAAGAAAAAAAATCATACTTAGCCCTTAACTCCCCTTAAATTACATCATCATAAACAAATCTCTTATACAACATTTACTATAAAATTTACTCATAAAATAAATGAAACTTTATAGTCCCATACTTCTGAATATAATCTATCCATCTTCTCCATACAATAATATATCTTTCTTGTGTATGATCCGTTAAATAAGCAGAAATTTCTGCTTATTAGAATTTTATAAAACAGGCATCTAGTGCAAAATTGTCATCGTGTGTGGAGGTACTCTCTGAGCTAAATTGTTTGTTTGCAGACATTTCATTATCTAATCATACTGATGATATTACCCTGTCAGCTAATGAAACATCTGCAAAGAAACAACCAGCTCAAAGAGCAGCAAAGAGTCCACAGTTTAACTTTGAGCCACATATAGCAATCCCCACATTAGAACATAACAAGCTGTCATTCGGCTAAGATCCAGATGCTGAACAAGGCTTCCTATTCACCAGGACAATGCTCAGCCCATCACAAGATTCAAATCCCATAGGCCATCTTAGAAAGCAGCTATTCACTTAACATCTACCCAGTTTAACCCTGAGGATGTTTGCTCTAAAATACTTTATTGTGGCCTCACTCTTAGGATCCGTCTACCAAGTCACCTAGTTTTGATCTGTCTCACTGTCTGGTTAGAAATTGAACAGAATTAGGTGTGATACTGGAAGAAGTGCCTACATCAGTGGGGATGGAAAGATTCCCCTTGTGGCAAGTGTGGTGCTGATATGCAAACTATTAAACGTACTGTGCAAGATTGCCCAGTGTGTCTTCTCTGATTCCTTAGATACACATGAAGCAATGCCAGAGGTAATTGCTTGGATAGCTAAATTAGACATCCAGTTATGAGGCCACTGCTATGGACTGTGTATATTGGTTTACTTCTGTCATGTTCCCATCATAAATAATATATAAATAAATGTAATAGTAAATAGAATGAAGGAAGAGAAAAATATACTGTAAGACCCAATCTAGTGCCACAACCAATAGCATTATTAGTCTGGCACTGTCTACAAGTGTTGGACTTCAATTCCCAGAATTCCTAAAGACTGAAAAATTATGGAACCTAAATCTAATACAGATTTCAGAAATCAGGATGTCAACACCGGACTCTAATATAATTTATTTTATTATGAAATGCATCTAGTAAGTTTATATGACCGTCCATCTTATGTACAGAGTATATTACAGTCTTTTCCACTGTAGAGAGTGGAAAGAAATTTAGAACTGTAAGAAAAGCCTTGACTGAGCCAAGTTTTCCAACTGTAACAGCTGCACGGAAGTCCGGCTTGTGAGTAACTCTACCTCCTTTCTCTTCGCGTTCCTTTGCAGCGGCAACACAGCCGCCATGGCTGACTGGGCTCTTTGGTCCGCGCGCAGCCGGCGTTTTCTCTCTTCGTGCTGGCGGCTCCTGCAAGAGCCCGAACTGCGGAGCGGCGTGAGCGGTCACCGACGTCTCTGCGTGGCCGAAACAGGGTTGAAGCCGCGACGGGATAAATTCGGCGGAGTGAGCTTAAACCTGGCTCAGCTGCGCTCTCCTGACAGCCTGGACCAAGCCGCCTTCGGGCGCTGGCTACAGGGCAAGTGCCTTTTGCTGGAGGCTTGTGGGGAAACAGAGATCACAGTCGGACCAAAGGCGAGTGGCCCCGTGCGGTCTCTCCGCTCACATCGTTTCTAAGGGCTCACAGCTTCCACGGTGGGATAGATTTAAAAAACATCCCCCCCCCCAAAAAAAAGAACCAGCGTATTTGAATACGTGCAGAATGCCTCTCCCTTCCCCTTCCCCAAATTTCCCTGATAAAACTGCCTCGAAAACAATTTTGGGAACAAAACGTGTGAATGAGCTTGTGGCCAAGTGCCGCTCTTTCCCTGATAAAGGGAGCACTACTTCTCAACCCAAACTAGCAGATATACTCCATTGAACCGATTAGGTTTAATATTTCTATTTCGTCTGCCAAGTGATGCGTGGTCGTTATAAGTAAAAGGTGTTTTTTTTCCTTATCACTCAATTACTTTATCTACACCCACATGTCCACAACTGAGACTGAACATAGAGGGAGAAGTGTGATGTTTGCCAATTAGAAAGGAACTGAAGGAGTGATGTAATTGTTAGTAACAGAATAGAATTGTTGTATTACATACTAGGCACATCAGGCTACCGTAGTGAAAAGCTGTAATACAGGGAACTGAGGTTTTAATATGCAATTAAACCAAAATTGCGGTTGCTCTGAATACCAAAATAATCAGGTAGTTATTAATAGTTATGAATAAAAATTCATAAAGGTTCTTTCTCATCCATAAGCACTTTTATCCAGTAAGTTACTTTAATTTTAGTGGATTTTAGCCCTAGATAAATGGTATAGCATTGCAGGCTGAGAGCAGTTCCAACAGTATTAGAAGAATGAAGTCACAAATCATTCCTCCAGTTATGAAGAGCATTTTTTTAATACTTGGAATAGTTTTGTTGAACTAACCTTTTTTTTCAAACGAAAATTGCAGAATAGCAATTTTTAAGGACCTAGTTTCAAAGTACCCCCTAACAGTATTAATAATGTTGAGAAATCTCCAATGTTAAACATCCATATTCAATATTTTTATTAAAATATGCATTTATTTCATTTAGCAAATTTGCACCCCACCCACCCCACCCCACCCTGCACACTAGGGTTCCCCATGTTACAGGGATATGGGAAATTATTATTAATTACTCTACTTTGTTAATATAATTAAAAATGAGACTGAATATGAGTGAAGAATTCTTAAAGAATTGCTATTCTGTTAATTTTTTTTAACTAGTGCTGTTCTCACATTTTTAAAATGTGTTCATAAAAAAGATGTAAAGTATGTTTCCAATGTTTGCTAACCTCAAAAATTAATTTTCTAGGTTGCACTATTTTATACAGTACATGAAAGAAATGAAAAATAAAATTGCACTGAAATAACATTAGGGCTAAGTAGCACTTCAGGCTGAAAACTAAAAGATACTTTGAAGTGCAAAGAGTGTTTATGTAGCAGCTATCTGCAACACCTTAAACCAGGGGTGTCAAACTGCTGGTCCATTGGCCAGACATGTCACATGGAAGCCGCTCACACCCCATTGACAGCAATGGCAAAACTGTCCCGATAAGTTGCGCAACATCACGTGACGTCACAAGTTTGACATGTCTGCCTTAAACCAAAACATTTTTTCCCAGCATCAAAATGCAGCTGCAGAGGACACTTATGCAATCCCAGTATGGAAATAGCTGGTTCAACACCTCAGTCAGGTGCTACAGGATCATCCCTATATTGCTTTTGAATCTAAAATACTGCACAATACTACAGTTACATAACAAGACCTGGAGGAAGGAAGCAGTGTACCCTAAAGGCAGGCAATAAAGGGATGCATTAACACAGGGGTCCTCAAACTCAGCCCTTTTATGACTTGTGGACTTCAACTCCTAGAATTCCTCTGCTAGCCATGCTGGCTGAGGAATTCTGGGAGTTGAAGTCCACAAGTCATAAAAGGGCCAAGTTTAACATGATGAAGCTAACAACATGGGGGCCAGTTGCCGCCAATTAGGTGTTTGATGGCTATGAGAGAAGCAGCTACCAAATCAACTTTGCAAAGCAGTTGAAATCCTGTTGCATATAACATCAAATTTAAATAATATGGCTTTAGCCCTACTTCTTTTTACCTAGACTGGTTGCACCAAGCTCGAGAATGCTGGAGCTCTTTGGGCTGGTTGCTTCCAGCACGTGCTATTGTGTTCACAAGCCTATTCTGGAGTTGCCCAGACTGCA